TCGCACTCCTTGAGGTGGGCCTCCAGGTTCATCTTGAGGAGGGGCGGGCAGCTGGGATTATTGGGGCACCGAACAGGCCTGTAGTCACAGCTGCTCTCGTGGTCCCTATGAGAGGTGAGACAGAATAGGCTGAGTCCCCAGAGGCATTGTTTTTAGCACCCTGGGGTGATGGGGAGCTGGAGGACAAGGGAGGTACTTACTTCCTGGCACTGAGCTTGATGGTGAAGGGGCACCCGCGGGGATCCACCTCAAAGACGGTGGGCTTCCCAACCCCTGCTGCCCGACAGCCGTGCCTGCAGTGGATGGAGAGCTCCCCAATCTGCTCGGCCACCGCAATGTTGTTCACCACCACCGTCAGCTTGGCATTGTCCACAGGACACTTTTCTGGAGGGGAGGGCATGCTGACCCCATGGCCCGCCCAGTAACCCTCTCTCCTGGCAGCCCTGTTCAGGGCACTGTGGCCAAGGGGGTGGGTGAGTGAGTGAGTGAGTGAGTGTGTGTGTGTGTTGGGGGGTGAGTGGTTTAGACTATTCCCTGGTGAGCGTAGCCTGGAACCTGCTCCCCCAGCTAGGTGGGCTGAGCCTCTATCAGGCACTTGATCCACCCATCTACCTGTCTCTCTGAGGTACCCAGGACAGGAAGGGGTGCACAGCTAGGCCAAGAATAACCACTAGATAAGCGGAGGCTTCTCAGCTGACCCAGAAGTCTGGGACAGGGCCATGGGGCTGGGGACAGAGCAAGAGGGCCTGGTAGGGGCACCCTGCTGGCCTCTAAGGCCCAAGACTTTGAGGTGGCAGCCTTGATAGTGAAGGCAGCCTCCAACAGGGAGAGCAGGTGCTGAGCCCAGGATCCCTCAAGTTGTAGGTCTTACTGCTCCGCCCGTCAGTGTCCTAAGCCGGGCCCGAGTGAGCCCTGGGGCCACCACCACCCGCTGCAGAGATGCTGTGCACAGGACTGCGGAGAAGCCGCTGCGCAGCCAGGGGCACGATCAGTGCTGGGCCTGTGCCGGGACCTCCCTGGAGAGGCTTCACTCCCAGCTGGGGAACAAGGTGTCCAGGCCTGGGTCTGGGAGGGCCCTACCTGACTTCAAGGCGCATCTTCGACAGAATGTGTGCTGTGGAGACAACAGGCTAACTTGGGGCATGGCCGCAGTCACCCCCACCCAATGCCCACTGCAGAGGGCACCTGCTGGGCAACCAGACCATGCCTGTGACCAAGGTCCAGGCTCCACATGGAAGGGGCTGGCAGCCCACCCAGCCCCACAGTGGTGCAGAGGTCGAGGAGGGGACAAGCGGCCTTACCCCACACGTGGTGATCACAGGGTCCTTGAATACACTGCAGCAGAGCTGGCAGCACAGCTTCACTGAGGGCTGCTCGGCGAACACCAGCGGCTCCTAGAACCAGGCAGAGCAAGTGAAGGTGGGACCCAGGGGTGTTGGCATGGGTGGCAGACAACCAAGACACCCAACCCCTCCCCCTGCAGGCCTGAGCTGCCATCTCAGCAGAGCTGCCACTTCAGCTGGGGCATGTCCCAAGAGTAGCCTGCTGAGGCTTAGGGCTGGGCCTGAGCTTGAGGGGGCCCAAGCAGGGAGGACCCCTCAGCCTGGCAGCGCCTACCGTCTACCGGAGATGGTGACTAGAAAGGGCACAGCACAGGTCCCACCTTCGGTTCCCAATGCTGGTCCCTGGTCAGCCCCTGGGGTGTGGGAGTGGGAAGAACATGCCTAGGGAACCTGGCCTGGGGTCCTTATGGACTAAAGGGGATGGAGGGGCCTTGACCAGGCCTGATCACCTCCTCACTGTGCCTGAGAGAAAAGTGGCCTTCCCATTGCCACAGTACAGTGAAGGTCCCTTAAGAGTCCTCTGCGCTGAGCCCACCCCATGGCCACCACACCTACCGGCTCCTCCTCTTCCTCGGGCAGCGAGAACGTGGAGCGCAGGGACATGCTGGACTCGGAGTGTAGGGAGCGGACGGAGATGGCTGAGTCGGAGCGGCGCGGGGTGCTGATGGGGGGCTGCAGCATGGAGACAGGCACCAGTCAGCCAGCAGGGAGGGCGGGGCTGAACCCCTGTGCACACAGAGGACACTGAGCCCCCCAGGACCACCCTGTCTTAGTGGGCACTCACTCAGCCTGCAGGGGCCGTGGTGTGTGCGTGAGGAGCCATGCAATGCCCAGGCCCCCTCCTGCCCAGTGGTCCTGGCCCTGTTGGGCCGCCCGCTCTCATCTGCCAACTTTCTTTGTGTAAATGGAGAGACTTCCTGCTATTCAATTCTACGAGGACACGCTAGGCCTACTTCCTGCTTCCCGTGAGGGAATGTAGGCTGCAGAGGGGGCACCTCCACCAGCCAATCCTGAAGCGGCAGCGGCCCCTGGACTGCTGGAGGGAAAGGAATAGAAGGCTGTCTGGGACAGGTTGTGGTTCTCCAAGTGCCCATTAAGCTCAGCTGCCTGCCTGGCCTCCCTGACCAGGGACACTGAGCCAGGCAGTAAGGATCCCAGGGAAGGCGGGGACCCCACTGGACCCTGGCCAGGTTCTGAGTGCAGAAGGGACAGCCATGGGTACCTGCCTTTGCCTAAGCTATCAAAGATAAGGATTTGGGGGAGACCTGAGGTAGGAGGCTATCCCTTCCTACCCTCAAGCCTAGAATCTTCCAAAAGAGATCCTTCAAGAGCCACTGCTCCCATACTCCCCTCCCTCTCAGAAGCCTCATTTATGAGCCGCAAACCTCTTGCCTCCACACCCAGCCCACAGGCCCCTCCTGGTCCTGGCTGCTCTGGGGCCCAGCTGCTTCTGTCTCAGCCTCCATGGGTATGGGGGCTGTTGGACCGATCCCCTTACCACTGCCAAGGGTAGGGGGTCTACCAGGAGCAGAGGGAGGCTGGGCCAGACAGTGCCAGCTCTGTGCAGAGGCCCCGCGAGTTCCAGGGCCCCGCTTCCCCAAGCAAAGTCAGTGAGATCCCTGTGTCCTCTGTGCCCACAAAAGGCACCTCCCTCATCAGCGCTGTGCCCACCTCCCTTCACAGTGTCCCAAGTGGCAAGTTTGCATGGAAACGCCACGTGAGAAACAAGAGGGGAAAGTCAGAGGAAGTGAGTCAAACCATCCCCATGGGCAACAGTGGAAACCAGAGGGCAAGAGCAGGTCCAGATGGGAGCTAGGCCAAGCAAGGCAGGCCTGGCTTGGCTCTGCTTTCCCCTGCCTACTTGCCCCTTTAAGCCAGGGGGCTAATGCTGCCAGCCACCCAGCACAGGCAGAGGGATAGCCTGTAGGGGCCCAGTGGCCAAGAAAGAGAGTGTCCAGATGGTCATGGCCTCAGGGCCCTCAGCACATTTCCACCTCCTTCAAGCCACCAAGGGCCAAGATCACAGAAACCACAGAAACAGGGAATTTGCTTCCTGGGAGGGCCCAGCAGGAGGGTGGGCCTTCTGATCCCAGCCATATTCCGGTGGGCAGGTCAGAGGTTGTGGAGACTGAAGCACGTAGAGCCGAAGGGAGCAGACCACGTTATGTGCCTTGTCCTTACAGAGGGCCTAGTACAGAGCCTGGCACAAGAGTGTGTTTGTTCAAATAATTAAAAACACTGTCTTTTTCTTCTTAAATAGGAAACAAAGGCCTGGCAGCCCAGAATGAGAAGCCTTAGGTCCTGGGAGGCTGGGAGGATGTGAGAACCAGTGAAGTCTGGCAGGGCTGCCACCAAAGGAAAACAGCAGTAGGGCACAGGACAGGTCAGCAGTGGGAGGGTCTGAGCATGCCTGTGGCACCCTCCCCAGCCAGGCCAGTTCTTGCTTCCCCAGGCAGGCCCAGAGCCCAGTGACAGGCAGGGAATGTCCATTGTGACCCTGGCCACATGATCTGGGCACCAACAGCTAGCCTCCGCTCTGCCCTGAACGCCTTCCTCACTCTGCAGAGCCAGCAGCAGGAAACTCCCCAGCTCCCCCGCAGTTAGCACGGGCCTTGCAGGCCCTCCTTCGCTGACCCCCCAGCTTAAACCTGTCCACCTTTCTCCATCTGCTGGGGCCTGTCTCTCTCATAAGAAGCCCCTTCCCAGGCCTCCTGCCTCTACCTGGCAACCCACCCTTCATCCTCTACTCAGCAGCACAGGACCTTAAAAAATGGGGATCTGATCTTATTATACTGCAGACTGAACTTTCTGTGGCTCCCACCCACTCAAGATAGAGCCAAAGACACCACACCTGCTGGCCACCTCTCCCATGCAATCCAGCCTCAATGCTCAGACCTTAGAGTGTCTGCACATGCTAGCCTTCTCTCTCACACCAGCTCATTTCCCACTGCAGATCATAGCTCAGGGCTCCTCGAGGCTGAGCCTCCCACCATCAGCTCCTCCCAGGACTTGGCCCTGGAAGGGAGGGCATGGCAGGAGGCTCCTGTGGGGTCGGGAGGGGTGAACATGGCCCAGACCTACCATGCTGTCCTCCTCATCCCGAGGGGAGTAGGCAAGGGTGCTGGAGGAGGAGGGCGTCCTGCGGTGCTGTTTGTATGTGCTGGTCCCATCGGCTGCCAAGAAAAGAGAACCGGGATGCCTTGAGTGTGGGGCTAGGGGTAAGGTGGGGAAGCCTGACCTACCATGGCAGGTAGTGAGCTAGGCAGGGTCAGAGACTGGGCTGGACATTGGGCTAATCCTCTCCAGGAAGCCTCTTTGCCCCTGCCCACTCCCACTGCCTCCTTCTGGACTTGAGGGCAAATTGGCTGAGGCTGGGCTTGGGGGCAGCTGGGAACACCCCGTGCCCAGCGAGTGCCTGAGCAGGGCACAACCTGACCTGGCCCCATGCCCCCAGTGAGAGCCCTAGCTTGCTCTATGGACTGTCACTAGCTCTCAGCCCTCTCCAGGGCTGAGGCTGATAGAGAGAGCACAAGTGTGAACGGGGTTCAGGTGGCCTCCCCAGACCTACCCAGTGCTTGGAGCTCTGCCACAGGTTTCAGCCTGCCCTGGACAGTCCCAGTGCTAAGCCCTAACACCCCCAGGCAGGAGGGGTCTTCTGGAGTGGCTGCCACTGGCCTCAGGCCCCAGCCAGGCCCAGATGTCACAACAACCGGTCCTAAAGGCCTAGATTTATGATCTATGCTTCAATTGGCTGCCCTGTGACTAGGCCTCAGTTTCCCTATCTGCAATGAGAGGGGCCAGGAAAGGCAGCTGTTCATACCCAGTTCTGACCCATCCCTGCTACTGAGGGGAGTCACGGAGTGGGACAAGGGCAAGATAGGCCCCTGTCATTCACTGGCCAGGAGCTTTCGACTGCCGTGATAGGGCCATGCCATCTCTAAAGGCAGATGAGGAATTAAGGAATTGGATGGGTAGATTAGGGGTGATGCTTATTTTCTTTTTCCTCAGCAAAAAAAAAAAAAAAATAAGAAGAAAAGAGGGCTCTTTCAGAGCCCCTAGGAGGGTCACCCAGTGGCAAAAAGAAGCTGGTATACACAGTGAACAGGTATACACAGTAGCCCCGTGACCGTGCCACCATGTATATCCAGAAAAACCATGGAAAAGCAATTAAAAAACCAATTAGCAGCTGATGTGCTCCTATGAGGGCCCACTGCCAAAAAGGTAAAAGAACAAACCACCCCCAGAACACAGGCCCTGACAGGAGAGGATCCATGCCCTTTGGGAAGGAGATCGTGCCCTCGTGTGCTAGTTCTTTATAACCTCATTGAACACACAACACTGGAGCCACAGCCGTGGGACCAAACTCGAGAAAGGATCCAGTGAGCACATCTTATTCTCTATCCATGCCAGTACAGTCCCTGAGCCTGACTTTGGAGGCTGCTAGGAGCCTGGGGCAGGGATGAGCAGGGGTCGCAGTGACAAAGGACAGGTGTATATGGGGTGCTGGAGAAGTCAGGGCATCCTTCCCTGGAGAGGTGACGGAAGGAAGAAGGGGCAAGGGAATACTGGGGTTGGGGAAGACACAGTGGCAAAAGCAGAGCCAGAAGGAGCAGGACAGCTGACTCCTGCCCAGCTGGGGTGTGGGGGCCTAAGCCAAGCTGTCCACTCTCCAATTCCAGCTCCTGCTCCCAACCCCATCAAGAAGGGCCCCACAGGCTCTGGTGGAGTTAGGGATGCTCAGATTATGCCCAGCTGAGCTAGCTTGGGCTCGCAGGCTCACCTTTTGTGATAGTGGTGACAGCCGAAAAAGCGGGCCCAAAGGTTGTTTCCATTCTGGTCTAGGGAGAGAATGGATGAGACTTGACTTTGACTCTAGAGACGATATGGACACATGTGGACATGCACTGACACACTTTCGTCTAACACACCCATGTGCACGTATACACAAACACACCATCCACACACATATCACAGCCTGCCAACACAACCTCCACGTAGGAAGGGGACTATTCTGAAAGCCCTGCTGGGAGGCCGTGGGCTTGAGGGGTATGCTCAAAGAGCAGACCCTTTCCCACGAGGTGCCTCTTACCCCAGTGGCAACGTCTGGAGTGTGAAGATTGGTAGGCCCTCCAGAGAAGCGGTTGTAGCGGGCGCTCTTGCCTGAGCTCATGCTCTAGAGAGGCATCTAGGGTCCTCGGGCAGCGTCCCCTGTGAATGGAGCACAAAGGGGGGCTTTAGAGATGATGGCCAAGCCTGTCAGCTGGCAGGGGCCGCTCTACACAGCAGGCCTACTCTGCACAGTCCACCATGGGACACACTTTTGCCTCTCTCCATCACCAATACCAACAAGGATAGGTCCACAAAGTCCCTTTCCTTCCTGTCCCAGGTGTGATAGGCCTGAGAAAGAGAGGAGGCCCTGGGTATGGGCAGGCAGCTGGCACTCAGTTTTACTTCCAAGGCTTAACCCTTCAGAAAAGCCCACCAAGTTCTGCCCCAAAGGTGGAGAGCCACCCCCTCTCCCCCTGCCCCCATCCATGTTCTGTCTGCACCTCTGGGTCTGACAGCCAAATTTCCCTGAGGCCACAGGTGGGCACACAGCATGACCAAGCTTCATGCCTATTTCCTGCCAAGACAGGTCAGGACCAGGCCAGCCCCAATCTGCAGGATGGCCAAGACTCTGGCCACGCCCCAGAGAACCTGCTGGGTGATGTACCTGGAGCCTGACTCCCCATGAGCCTCATCACACAGAACAAGCTCCTTCTGGGCAAGGGGAGGAGGGGCCAAGAGAGAGGAACTGACTCCTCTGCACAACACCCATCCGGGGAACAAAAGATGCCCCTTAACAGTGTGACTCAAGGTTCGTAAGCTGGGTGGCAAGGAGAAGGCATAGGGCAAATCATCCCAGGCTTCCAAACATTCCACCCACAGAAGAGGGGCTGGGGTGGCCCGGGAGTGCCTGCAGGAGAGGGAAGAGATTAGACACTGAGAACAGCAAGGAGAGCTACTCTACTGCCAGACAGCACCCACCTCCTGGTGGCCCTATCAGCAGGCACCCCTACAGAGTGGTCTTCCCACTGTCAGGACCCGCAGCACTCTGTAGCCAAAAGCCCAGTCTGCCCATACAGTGGAGTTGGCCAGAGGAGGGAGGGCAGGCTCATCTTGTTCCCAGTGGTGGTATGGGAGGCGGGTTCCCACGCTGTGGTTTTGAGGCCCCACCGGACTAAGAAGAGCTCTGGGTGGAAGGCTGCTGAGCCTCTGGCCCTGGGAAAAGGCAGGAGATGCTCTCTGCCCCCACCCAAGGTAGGTACAGCATGGAGGGCAACTGCACAGTCTAGCTGGTTCTAGCACTTTCTCCATCAAGCCCTCCTGACCTGGGCCATCTGGCAATGTCGGCCCCCACACACATACCATGGCCATACAGAGTGACTTGGGGTCCACCCAGTGGTCCTCCAACTCAGGCTACTGGTCTGCAGGGAGGGACTGGTTCCTGAGCCCTGTGTCCCTATACTATGCTCCTGAGTTGCCTGCTGTTCCTGCTGTCTCCTTGTCCCTCTCCCCAGCTGCTCCTTCAAGTGCCACTAGCGATGCCACCCTCCCAACCTTCACAACTCAGGCCTCAGTGGGATGGCTCTCAGGCTCTGCAATTGGCACTGCCACCAGGCACCACCTCATTCCCATGCTCTAACTATCCTGCAGGTCCAGCTAGCTAGGAGGTTCCAAGAATTTGGCCAAAGCCTCCCCGCTCCTGTCCACCACTCCCCTTGCTGTGACTCAAGAGGCTTGGCTCTATGCCCCAGACCAGGCTCTCTGGTGGCTTGTCCTCTTGGGGAGAGGCAGGTCTCCTGAAAATGGGCAGTGCTAGGTCCGCGGACAGAGGTATGAATGTGACATATCTGGAAGCTCTACCTCCAGGGCCATTGCTGATCCCTATACTAAGCAGGAAGTCTTGGGGGCTACCCTGCTTGGAGCAAGGAGGCCTGGCCGGCAGCGGAAGGCCCAGACAGCCCAAAGCAGGAGATCCAGGACCTAACTGGCAAGAAAGGCTCTCCCATCTTGGAAAACCCAAAGTTGGCTCCTGTCTTAGCACCACAGGGCAGGGAAGAGGGTGAGGGGTGGGTCACCGGGAGGAAGCTGGTCGACACTGACCCGCATCTTACAATCCATCTGCTCCTTCCACTACCAGCTCCCAGGGCCAAGGACGCAGCTGCCGGCTCCAGTGAGCAGTGCCCGTGATCTGAGGCCAGGACCCCAGCAAGCACTCCCCCTGGGACCATGGCCAGCCTCCATGGGTCCCACATGCCCTAGAGCCAGAGTGCCCGTCACTGCAATCTGGGAGAGCAGGCCTCTGGCTGTCTCTTGCTCTGAAGTGAAGTAAACAGAAAGGCATGCAGTGTCCGCAGGGCAACATGCAAATCGGCCAGAAAGTCTTAGGTGGTAAATAGTGGCCAGGCCTGCGCAGCTCTGACACCCAACCTGATGGAGGACCTACAAGACTGGCCCATGAGCCAAGCTGAGCCAGGGAAGGAGGGAGGGAATCATTTCCAGTTCACACGGGTTCAGTGTGCAGCCTAAACCAGGGACCCGAGGTGGGCGGGACCCCAGGCTACAGTCTAGCACCCCCAATCTGTGTGCCCCACCCAGCCCAGAACACAGTGACTGCTTACTAAGCATCTCAGAATTGAGCAAGATACTCTCAGCCCGCCCTCAGCTGGTCCCCCAGGGGCTGCGTTTTGCAATAACAGTCTTTTCCAGTATGGTATCCTCTGGCCCTGCAGGCCGAAACCTCAGCTATAGGGATGCTGCGCCCAGCTGTCTTGGGGCTATGCCCTAGCCCTCCAGGGCAGTAGGCCTCTTTCCCCACCCCACAGTTAACCTGAGGATCTCAAAGAGGCAGGAAGTTGTCAACTAGAGCAAGAATCCTGCCCGAGGGCCTGGTGTCTCTCAAACTGGGAAAAGCCTCCACCTGGGTGGGCTAGGGAAATCTTGGATGGGGGCAGAGAGGGTAAGAAAGAGCTTTCCCTTCAGCTCCCTTGGAACTCCCTGCCAAGTCCCCACCCTGTCTGTTGCCAGAGGCCTCCAGGGAGCTCAGGGGAGAGCTCCAGAAGAGGGACCCAGGGTTCCTACCTATGTCCATGTCCAAGGGGCTTGCAGGGCCCTTTAAGTGCCCTTGCTGTCCAATAAGGAACCACAGAGCTGCCTGCAATGCTCCAGCCCCTCTTCAGGAAAGCCCCCACCAGCCCCCTCTCTGAGCAGCCTGTGAGGGAGGGCAGGCAAGCTCCTTGAGAACCCCTCCCCAGTCCACCCCCTGCAGGGAGCCCAGGATCTGCTGCCCTCTCCTTTTTCCCTTGAGAAGCACTTAGAGGGGGTGTGAGTCTGGTCCCTGCCCACAGGGTCCCTGTGGCTGGCAACCAGTGGAGTGGGCAGCCCAGGCTGGCCCTGCTGGAGTCAAGGACAGTGGGGTGACCTAATGCAGGTCCCCACCAGGGCCAAGCCCCACCTCGAGGCAGCTCTTCTGGCAGCCCCAGGCAAAGGATGTGATCAGGTCTCCAAAACAGCTGAGCCAGCGAGGGGGTAGGTGTGCCCTGGAAACCCCGTCAAGTGCTGACTGCCCCATGGAAGAGTATAGGTAGCTCCAGACACCTCTGCCCAGACACCCCAGAGCTTTGGGTGGCTAGCTAGCTAGACTGTGGCCAGAGTTCCGGGCCCAGCCTCTGGGTCAGCTCCTACCCCAGGGCCCCCTGGCTCAAACCCAGACTAAGCTGCCAAATCCTACAGAAACAGATCTGGTTGCCATAGAAAGCCACATACACTTCTCAGTTATTCCCTGGTGTTCCTTTAGCACATCTTTTACACCCCAAACAGATAGGGTGTGACCTTGGGGATCCCCTCAGTACCCAGGAGGCCCTGGTCTGAGGCCTTCCCAGCTTCCCTTCCCTCCCAGCACCTAGTCTGGGCCTCTGCCCTCACCTCACCCTCCTTCTCTCTGCACACGCAGCCCCAACTCCACGGAGGCCTCGAGGCTGCCCAACTAGACACCTGCTGTGGCCTCCTCTCCCCAGAGCTCTGCTCCATTGCATCCCTGCCCAGTCCCCATCTAGGTCCAGCCTCTCGAGTCCACCGGCTCTTCTGTTGGAGAGAAGTTTGAGAGAGGCCAGGCCCTCAGGCAGGATTCTTGCTCTAGTTGACAATTTTCTGCCCTCCCTCCTGCTAGACTGGCCCAGCTCTAACCCCCACTTGCCAATGCAAAAGCCTTCACTTCCACACCTGCCCCTTGGGGCCAGCCTCCAACTTCCAGTCTTTTCTTTCCCACACCTGACAGCCATGTAGGAAGTAGAGACCTGGACCAGCCTAGGGGACATCCAGATCCAGACTAGGAAGAGAGTGTTGTTGGAAGAGGTGGCGTTTGTCATCCCATCTCACTGCAGAGGTTACTTTTTCCTGCTCCCACCCTCCAATACAGTGCTCAGCCCAGGCTGGCTGCAGGGGCAGCACTGGCAAGCATGATCCTGTCTGTCTCAAATCCATGAGTCTAAACTTGTGGAAACAAGTCCTGGACCTCTGCCCAAGAGCCATGTGATGGGTAGTGCCCGGGCCCAGTGTATACCTCCAGGCCCCTCAGCCATTTCCTCACCACTCCATATGACTTCTATCTCCCTGGCTTCCTCCTTCTCACTTCCTTGCAGAAGTTGGGGAGGTACACAGAATCCCCAGGCCAAAGTCATTGGGGGTGCACTGGGGGCATAGAGGGCATAGATCTGGCCCGGCCCACTCTACTGTCCACCCCACAGCCTTGCGGCACATGCATCACCATTCCTTCTCACATTCCTTCAGTCCTAGATTCTTGCCAGGCTGCTTCTTCCACCTGGTACCCTCCCACAGGGTTCCCCCTGCACCAAGGCTTTCAGACAGCCCGCCTTCTCCTGCCTGGAGACTCCATGCTTCTTCAGGGAGCAACCACATCTCTTCTGCCCAGGTGCACAAGGGACACAGGGTATCTGTCAAAAGTCAAGAGTCCCCTGGTGGAGTCCTAGGTGCCCACCCACTAGTTAGGCCAAGCCCATGGGGATCCAGGTTCAGAGCAAGTCACATCATGCTGACACCTCCCAGGGCTGGGTGTGCGCTGGCACTTCATACATATGCTTTACACTGAACCCTTCAGGAGTCCATTATAAAGATGGAATAGAATATTTTGTCAAGGCCACAGGTGCCAGACCCAGATAGACCTGTGTTCAAATCTCACTTCTGCCACTTAATAGCTGTGTGATTTGGGGCAAGTTGCTTGCCCACCTGGGCCTCAATTTCTCACCCACAAAATGGAGTAGATATACCCACATCTAGAAGAAACTGTGAGAGATGACATGAGTAAACAGCAAAAGCTTCACCAACAGCAGCTCCTTTTTGAGAGCTGTAAATGAAGGCTAAGGGGCTGTCCTAGGTATATCTAGCCAGTGAGAAGTCATATTGAGGATGATCAAAGCCCTTCCTCCATTGCCACCAGCAAACCAACAAGCCTCACCATGTACTTAAGCCAGCCTCATGCCAAGTTATACCAGGGAGCAGCTAAGGCACAGAGTCCGGGCTGGCTGGAACCACCCATCAGCTCAGGCCCTTCAACCACATCTTCTTCCACTTCTCAAACTGTTCATCACTTTATCCAGCCAGCTGACCAAGGTTCACACCAATTGTGTACCAGGCCCTACGCCAGAAAGAGGGAACATCGTGACAGCTAAATGTGAGTCTGACCTGAAGAAGCCAGGAGCCTGATGGGGGAGGCAGACAGAGAGTACTAAGCTCCATTACACTTGCCAAAGGCACTTTTCATAGGTTTCTGTACCACCTAAATCAATACTGAAGACCTTGATTGATCTCTTCCATTCATTTCCGGAAGGATCATGACACAACACAGTGGGAGTTACTCCACAGGACCCCTCAGGTTGGGCCCTTCCTTCCCAGCAGGTCACCTCCTTACCAGCTGGTCACCCGCCTCAGAGGGAGGTTCTGGCTTTCTGGACATAGTGTAGCTATAGGACATGGAAACCTTGAGACACAGAGGCTGGGGTTTCTACAGAGAAATGTGAATACCCATAGTAGTGAAAGTTGGGATTTATGACAGAGAGGCTGTGTCTGCCACATGAGCCTTCAGGGAAGAGATGTGGGAAGAGAGAGATCCAAAGAGAAGGAATGAGGAAGAGAAAGGCCACATGCTTGGTGAAGGGAGCCCCTGGAGAGGGACCCTGTGTTTGCACTGGAGGACGCTGACGGATGGGGAAAAGGGTGGGCAGATCAGGCTAGGCAGCAGGAAGTTCTAAGCAAGGAAGGCAGCAAAGTAGATTGGAACCCCACCTTTCTCCCTAACCCCGTCCCAGAGCAGGGAGGGATCCAGCAGGATCCCAGACTCAGCCCCCAGCTGAACGCCCTGACCTGGCTCAAGACAACCAGGTCCAGACAGCCAGATGCTGTGATAGGAGATGAGGCCCCCGCTCTGCTCTTCTCTACTCACAGGCCAGCCTCCTCACTCTCTCCTGTTTCCCCCACTGAAGCCCACAGTCCATCCTCCTCACACAACCAGCAGCTCTTACTAGACTTAGATCTGATACTGGCTCTAATGTACTTGACTCCAACAACCTCCCTGCCACCCTGGCCTGGCCTCATCCACTTCTCCTCTTACCACTTTGCCAGTGCTCACTGGTGGACACCAAGCTCTTTCTCACCCCAGACCTTTGCACATCTTGCTCCCTCTGCCTGCTCTTCCAGCAACTTCCAGGACAGGCTGCTTTCTGTAGGTCTCCCCCACGCCAAGCCTTTCGGGAGCCTCCAGTACTCTCTTTCTCAGCGCCCTGTTTCTTTCATAGCACCTACCACAATTCCTAATGATTTTGTCTGTGTACTGTCAACCCCGTCTAGATTACCGGTTCTCAAAGAGGGAGAGATTTTGTCTCCCAAAAGACGTTTAGAAATGCCTGAAGATATTTTTGGTTGTCACAACGGAGGTGGGGACGGTTACTAGTATTTAGTGGGTGGAGACCAGGGATGCTGCTCAACATCTTACAAGGCTTAGCAGAGAATGATTCGGGCGGAGTGTCAACAGTGGCGAGGGTGAGAAATCTTATAGAAGAGCCTACAGGAACTGGGATCATGCTCTCCGCAGTGTCCCAGAACCTAAAACAGTGCCGGGCACCCTAATAGCGCTCAACAAACGCAGGAAGAAGGAATGATTTAGGAAAGAGAGAAAGGAAGAATGGAGCGAGCGACGGACTAGCTGACAAGCAGAGGACAGGAGAGAACACTCCGGCCCGTCTCAGCCCCGCCCCCCCAGGCCCGACGCCTCGCCAGACCCCAAAGCACTCGCCCTCCGCCCCACAGCGCGTTCCCAAGGCGCAAGCCCCGGGACGGGCGAGCCGCGCGGACACTCACCCGCCCGCGGCCGCCCGGGAGCTGCAGCGCCACCCTCCAGCTTCATCTTGCCCCTCGGTCACCCGCCGAGAAAGGGACAGGGCGAGCGAGCCGGAAGTGCTCAGGTGCTGCGCCCGCCGGGACTTGTAGTTCCCCGCTCTCGGGGCCCCCGGCAGTAGCCTCACGCTAAATTCTTCAGAAACTACAACTTCCGGTTGCCCCGATGTCACAGGGCGGGATTGGCGGCTTCAGAATCACTCTATGTTACAGATCGAAGTCTGATTGGCTGTGTGCATCCGTCGCTCACGGTTAGCAGCAGCAAAAGGAAGAACTGCCCCCCCAAAAGAAATACCATGGCGTGATTGGTGAAAACAAAGAGAGTAAAGAGCGGAGCGTATCAGTGGCGGGTGAGGGGGTACGTAAGGTACTTTCGCTGGGATTGTCCAATCACAGAGTTGGAACAATTACTATAAAAGCTTGAGCCTCCGGTTTCACCACTCTTTCGGGTTCGAGATCGAGGTGGGAGATTTTGTGCCGGTGAACTCCGTGCACCACGCCGGGAGAGGAGCTGGCTGCCTAGTGGAGCTGAGAGGGTTACCCAAACCTATAGGCCGACCTAGCCCCGGGGTCTATCCTCAATCCGAGTTCTACCTTGATCTTCAATGTTGTACACGTTTCTTGTCCTCCAACACCAGTTCTGGCGGGGAAGTCCGGACCTCCAGACTTAGAGCTCCCTACAGGTAAGGCTGGGTCGGGCCTGGTTTCCCCGATTCCGCTCCGAGCCTGTGATGAATTGCTTTAATTTCTGACACCTCGTATGAAAACTGCATATGCAGTCTGATTACATGGCAAGACTGAGGCTTTACGGTGCGCTCCATTGATGGGAGGGTCTGGGGAGTGAAAAATCGATGGGAAGAGTGGGCTTCTGTCTACATTTTGGCATTGTCTGCCTTTCAGGGCTGTCGGTGACCTAGCTGGAAACCTCGAATATAAATCAACATCAATCAGTCCAGGGACCTGGCGGTAAGGTGGGAGTAGTGTCCATATCTATCTGAAGTGCTTAGAAATAAAGCAAAGGTGGTATGAGTTGATTGGAGTGCAAGAGTCTTTATTTTCACACGCCATTTGTACCAGAGTCCTCCTTGGGAGGACTGGCTCATCCCTGGGCAGCCTTGGGAAGGGGTAGAGTCATGAAAATAGAAGTTCATACTTCCCACCTGCTGAGATCACCTCCATTTTTGCCTGTAAGGCTAAAAGATTTTTTTGTGTGTGCCTTTGCCTTATGGTAGGTCATAAACTCTTAATTCCTCGCTAACAGGGTTAACTGGCCACTGAGTGCCCCTTTGTTGGCATTTTAGGCAGCCCTGCTGTGCTTCCTTTGCCATCTTGGTTATGAGGGAGTGCCACCCTCTTAGTGGTGAAGTCTGGGCTTTGTTGAGAGCTCTAAAAGGCAATTTCAATGGATGAGACAGGCACTCCGGAAAAACAGCTTTATTCACCAGGACTAAGAACAAAGGCTCTCAATCAAAAGACTTGAATATTTTAATACAAGATGGAGTACACTACCAACCTCCTCCGCTTGACTTTGCCAAGCGCGGGCCTCAGCTGTAGGCAAGCCATTCCCAGTACGATGGCCTGCCGAGGTGGTACCCTGGTCAGCAGGTGACGGCTGGCAATTCTCGTTTCCCTGACATTTCTGTGATTTACCATATGCCATTCCCTGTATTACAAAGCCACAATCTTGGCATCCTCCAAGGGAACATGAGGAAGACCCTGTTGATTGCACCAGAGCCTCCTGGTGGGTAGGTTAGGAGCACACAGTCCTAGTTGGCACAAACACATATGATTCTTGGTGAAGCCTTCTGCTCCTGCCATTCCCTGCTTGGGCAGCATGTGCAGCTGAAGACATGACTTTCTAGGGTTAGGTACTGTACTGTACCATCACTGCTGCCTAGTCTTAAAGCTGAGCATTCCAGGAGGGGGCAGCAGAACGCCACAGTAAGCAGGGGACCAGGCACCCTATGCAGACTACATTGCAGGGGTTCCCCTTCCTGTACAGAAGTCCCCCAGGCAACAGCAGGTGAAGGGAGGGATGCAGTCCCACTGGCTCCCTGCAGCTCATTGTGAGGACTAAAGCTATAGATTGCCTCCAGGACAAGGGAAGGGCAAGGCTCAGCCTGTGAGTTCTGCAAACAGACACCTTGGGATTGACCCGCTGGGTGACAAGTCAGAGGGACCTGTAGATCAGCCTTTCAGTGGCTGGGCTGAACCTGGGCCTCCCAGCAGAATGCCTGGTGGCTGTTCTCATCCAGGTTCAGGGTCTGCAGCAGGAGGACACGCGGCCCTCCCTCTTGACATAGTCGTGCAGCTGGAAGCGGGGCTCGCTGGGGGCCTTCATAGAACGCTGCTTCAACTCCCTGTGGGGCAGAGGTGACCATGGAACAGAGTGGCCTGTGTCCCCAACAAGGGGATTCAGACCCTGGGTCTGGGGGGTGACTGCCAGAACTTACTTTGCTATGGCTGTGAAGGCTAAGTCCACGTTGAGGCCTGTCTTGGCACTGGTCTCCATGAAAGGTAGCCCATATTCCTGCAAACAGCTGCTGCCAGCAGGGTGGCAGCCTCATGGGGACAGCCCAGGCTCTACGGCCCCAGAGGGGCACCCCCTGGCCACCCACCTTGCCCCAACTCACCTTGGCCAGCTTCTCCCCATCCTCCCTCTTCACCACACGCTCCTGGGTAGAGTCCACCTGGTACAGGGATCTTGGTGAGAGCTGGCCTGGGGCTAACCTGCCTTCAGAGCCAGGCTGAAGAGGACAAGTAGGGATGCCCACCTTGTTCCCTAGCAGCATAAGCACCACGTCGTGCTGGGCATACTCCTGGATTTCCGTCAGCCAGGCCTATTGGGGAAGAGCTGAGACCAGAATGGAGGCTGGTGCTCCCTGCATCCCTTGCCCCTCCAGGCCATGTCCCACACAGTGCCTGCTGGACTCTGGCTAACAGGAGGGGTCCAGAAACTGCTCACCATGTGCCATGCCGAAACATCCCTGACAGGTACTTTATCCAAGGTGTTGAGTTGATGAAGTTGGAAGGTCACCCAGGCCACCTTCAGCTCATACTCAACTGGGGCCACCAGGAGGCCAGAGGGGCCTTTTCCCCTCCCCACTGTCAGTAGGGTCCTCAGAACCCTCTGGGACCCAGAAGCCATCTGTGCCTGAGGGAGGTTGGGGATGGGGTCAGGCCCAATCATTGCCCATTCTCCCCACCTAAAAGGAAGCCACTGACCTGGATGTTGTCAAAGGAGGCCTTGTTGGTGACATCATAGAGCAGCAGCAGTGCTAGGGTCAGAAGGCCAGTGAGGACATCTCCAGGGCCTTTAGTGGCTCCCCGTCACCCACAACCTCAATATCACAAGCAGAAGCCTAGGGAACAGGGCACCCACAGAGCATAGCCCCAACCACCTGGGGCTTGGACCCTGTGCCCACGAGCTCACCATGAGCATCTCGATAGTAGGCGTGGGTAACACTGCGGAACCGCTCCTGGCCAGCTGTGTCCCAGATCTGTAGTGATGGGTACAGGCCAGTGGTCAGGGCTGCCCAGTACCTCCCAGGTGTCCCCTGCCCTCAACTCACCATCTCCCAGTTGCCTCACCTGCAACTTCACCTTCATGCCATCCACGTCCAGAACTTTGTTCTGAAACACAACCAGTCAGCTTCAATGTGGGGCCTGTGCCTCCCTCTGGCAGGGGGCTCCCAGGTGGGGAGAGGGGGAGAGTTAGGCAGTGCCAGGCCAGGACTGAACCTGAAATTGGGGAGCCCCTGGCATGCCCTGAATTCATTCTTATCCTGTGTGCCCCTCAGCTGGCCAGGCTCTGCCCCCTAAGCCCATATCCTGGATGCTCATCTGACCACCTTGCCTTCCTCTACCCCCAAATAAGGCTTCCTCTTGAACCCAAGACCTGGGGTCCACCCGGTTCTCTCCCATGCCTCTGGTGAGCCCCTCCTGATGAACCATGCACAGAGGTCCCTCTCCTGCTCAATAGCTGTACTAATGGACTTGCAGGTTGCTGCCCTCCATGGCCAGAGGTGTCTAATTCTGGGCAAGGCTGTTCTTCCTCGGCCTACCCTGAAGGCCTGGCACATTGCCCCACCAGCTCCACTGCTCTCAAAGCCCCTTGCTGCCACCCACTCATCACCGAATCCTGTTGCTCTGACCCTCCCTCTGCCCCCAGCACCTCCCAAACCCAGCCGCTTAGCCTCTCTCCTTCACTCCAGCCCTCCCCAGCCCCCCTCCTCTTCCTGGTGCCCACCAATTCAGCCTCACCCTACACACCTCTCCTGCGCTCTTAACAGAGTGCAGACCCCAGTCCCCCTATCGGCCACTGGCACCTCCCACAGCTCTGCACATGCTGCTCCTTTTACTTAGAGCCATTTGCACATTTGAAGTCACACACCTTATGACCACAGGCCGTTACGCTGTGCCTCAGTTTCCCCATCCATGAATGGACATAACTAGGGTGTCCACATGGCTGCTCAAATGACTTTATGGGCTACAATGTGCAAAGCACTGAGAACCATGCCTGGCCCAGAGTGAGGGCTAAAAGCATTTGTTCTAATTTAAACGTCGCTCTCCCTTCAGGCACAGCAGTTCCCTGAGGACAGTGCCCAGTGTAGCCACCAGAGTGCAGAATTCTGCCTGGTTCATAGCGAGTGCTCACTACGTGTTTGCTGCCTGGCCGTGCTCTCTTGCCAGCCCTGGAGGGAGCAGCCCAACCCTGGTTCCCATCTGTTGGGTGGGGGTGGGGGCATGGCTGGAAAGTCACTGCTTCCCTCTTCCCCAAGCTTCTGCTGTCAGGGTGCTTCTGGGTCTCTGGGGAACCAAGCATAACCATCTGCCAGGCTGGGGAGGACACCCCGCCTTCCCCAACGCCCTGGACAGGGGTGTGAACCAACTGGCCTCACCTCCCTCACCACCTGCCCCAGAGCCAAGAGGGAGGTGAGAAGGGGGTAGGCAGAGCCAGAACACGCAAAGGACCAACTGTCCTGGGTCTAGACTGCCCCCTTCTGTCACTTCAACCCTTACTTCATCCTAGAGGACTTGAAGGACCTTGGCCCCCCAAACAGGCTATAGAATGACTCCCAGGCTGGAGGGAGCCCCCCTTTCCTGTCCCTTAATGGGCCTCTCTCTCAGCAGCCTCCTGCCAAGTGGGTCTAATTAAAAGGTGAGAAAAATGCAAATTTGGGATTTGCAGAGAATACACCAGTACCTCACCAGCACCTCAGCACTGGTACATAGAATTCAGATTGGTAGGCAGAGGTGGAGGCTCTGATGTTGGAGCCCTGCAGGCCTGAGGCTGGGCCTCATCATTTCCTGCTGCTTGAGGTGCTAGAGGGGTTTGGAAACCAAGAGTCCAGGGACATTCCCCCAGAAGAACCCCAGAACACAGCCTCCAGCTGGGGGATGGTAACAGAAATCTGGCAGGGGAGAGCAGCTGGGCGGGAGCATTTCTCATGTGCCTTTTCACCTAAGGGCATGGACCTTCCCCCCCCAAAAAAAGCCCCCAGTCTCTAGGTAGCACCTTTTCCCAGCTGTGGAATGAAGTATGTGTGCTCAAGTGCCACAACCACCTGATTGGTAGGTGCTGGGCAGCCAGCCTGGCACCTCAGGGACCCCTATGCAGTGGGGCAGTGATGCTGACCTCCCAAGTGGACACGAGCCTTAAGTTTTCTCTGACAGCCAGTGATAACTGGTGACAACCTACACCAGTGACAACCTACCCCAAGGCACAGGATACAGCCCCAGGGTCGTGCTGGTCCCCGGCACAGGAGTACCATCTCTGCTTTGGTCAGATGCAGCCACCACCTATCTCCAGAACCCTTGAGGTGTCAAGTGGCAGGCAGCTTGGGGGTTAAGGCATCCCACTTCCACCACGCTAACCCTGGGAGACAGGTGGTCCAGCCAGGAGTTCCACATCATGAGCCTGTTGGTTTCACGGGATAATGGAGAACCAGTTGCCAGGGGTGCTATGAAAACTCAGTGAGCTGGTATTGTGGGTCCAGGGTATCAACCTTCATGCTCACCCGGAAGTCGATGCCCACAGTGGAGATAAAGGTCCCCGCCAGGAAAGCCCCATCCTTGAAGCGCACAAGCAAGCAGGTCTTCCCCACACCGGAGTCCCCCACCAGCATAACCTGGGGTGAGCAGGAGGGCCAGAGGTGTTAGGGGCAGAGGGGATCAGGGTGCTGACCCACCCACTGGTGTGTCTGGTCTTTCCTGAGCTGGCCTGGTCAGAGAGGGGCTGTAGGTGAGAGGCAAGAGGGGAGGGAGGTGTCACAAGCCCACAGGTTCAATAAGGCCTGGGAGAGACATAGCAGCTATGATCCCAGCCTGCCTGCACTTCCCACTTCCACCTCTACAAGGTTCCGTCCGCTCTCTTTTAAACTGAGACCCATCTCAATCAGTCAGGAGCGGGGGCAGTTACCTCCATCCAGAGCCCTACCTAATGCCCACCCCCAGGCCCTCAGCACCATGCTTGATCTGAAAGGGGAGCATCTGGGGCTCACTCGGTGGGGAACAGAGCCTGGGAGTTGGTGGCTGGGGACCTCCTGGGAGGCTTGTGGGGGCCTCTGTACCAGAGGGCTTCTTCCAATCCCAGCCAGACCCAGGAAGAATTTGCCCTAAGAGGGTCAGATCTTGGCATGACAAGGGATCCAAGCCAGTTCTGTGGGCAGGGAGGGGCAGTCAGGCCTTCCCCTCTTCTACCCCTCCCCCAGACTGCTGCCAAAGGCTCCCAAACCCAAAGATGGTCCTGCCAACCCCCCCACAATTCACAAGCGTCTGCCTAGGCCTGGAGGAGGCACCAGTGCTCCCCACCCAACTGGCAAACCTCTTCTTTGTCTCCCTGACCCCTAAAAATGAGGAGACCCATAGACTCTGGGAGTGAGGGAAGTAACATATGGGAAATGATGAGACTAGGTCTCCATCAGGGTCAGAGATATTAGGGAACGGGGAGAGGACACCTGGCTGTGATTTCCACCGGACTCCTTGTCGAACCCTGCCAGCTGGGGGTGGTGTAGTGGACATGCCTTGCCAGCGGTATCCCAAACCCAGGTTTGAAAGCTGTGTGTGTGTATGCGATGCACCGTGCCAGCGGTACCAGCTGCGGTGTACCGCTCCAACCATCTCGGTGCCCAGGGTCCGCAAGGCCCTGCAACCTCGCCCCGGACCCCTCCCCCATTGGCCCCCGTCGGATGCCACCTGCTGCTCTCGCATGTGGTGGTGGTGGGGGGGGGTGCCCCGCTCACCTTGAAGGCGACATCGTAGAAGTCGCCGCCGCCTCCTAGCGATGGCCGGCCGGGCTGCAGGAGCCCGTTGGGCGGCACCTGGGGGCCAGGGCGCGCAGTCCCGGGGCGAGCCGGCCGGGGCTCGTTGGAGGCGGGAATCGCGGAGGCAGCAGGAGCGCTGGCCCCCTTGCTCTTGAGGGTCTTCTTCCTGGACATGGCGGGCGGGCGCTCAGTGCCCTCCCGCTGCAGCCACCGCTCCCCAGGCCTCCCTGCTCCCCGCGCCCTCGGAGCCTGACCCTGACCCGAACCCGTCCCACGGTGGCAGCGGCGGCGGCATCCCGGGCGCCTGGCTCCCCGCAGCCCCGCCCCCGCCGCCCCACAGCTCCGCAGCCACTGAGCCGGGGCCTCCCGCCGCCGCCGCCAATGGCCTCTCTGGGGCGGGGCCATGCAAATGAGTCGGCCTCCCGGGGGCGGGGTCAGGACATCGCCAGCATAGCCCTGAGTGCACCCGTCGCTATACTTTTGCCGTTTGGGAGCAGCTTCGTGGTCACCTCCAGGCCTGGGCCGGGGTATGAGGCGGTGGGCCTTGGGTGAAGGAGTACCGAGATACTGTCGTTTCTCTGCCCCGTGCTGCCTTTTGGCCAATAACTCCCCCGCCCCATTAGCACCTCCCGGCCTGGGACAGGGGGAATGCTCTGAGGTAGAGGACGCTGAGACAGAGGGCCTGCACAGGGTGGGCATCCTGGAATTCTGTCCCTTCTCAGCCAGCGATGCCACCTGGCCTGCTGCGGGCTTCCCTCTCCTCCAAGGCAGACAGGTCCCGGAAGCTCCAACACTCGGGCTTGGCAAACAAAGGGCCTGGGGCTCAACTGACAGCTGGTTATCAGAGGAAGGACTTAGTGGGCACCGCTGAGCATCAGGGCTGAGCTGGCAGGGGCTCTTCACCGCAGCTTTCGCCTGCTGGGCTGAAGCCACGGATCCTTGGAAAAAGGAAAGTCAGTGTCACAGCCAGCAGCAGACCGTCTGCCCTTAAGGGGCTAGCCCTTGGACTTCAAGTGCTAGGTTCTGATCCCAAGCAGGCGAAGTGCTGATTGTCAAAAACCCAGACTTGTACCTGACAGACCCCTTTCCAGGGCCTGACATCTCCTCTTTACCTGAGCTCTGATCCAGGACCCCCACCAAAGATACTCTGTTTAGAGAATGAGGCTGAGGCAACCATGGAATCCTGGGAGTGGTGAACCAAGATGCCCCTCGCCCAGCGCTTGGGGGCAATGGGTGCAGACAGAAGGGCAGTGCCCATGGAATCAGTCTCTGCTCCATACTCCTCTGGGAGCTGGAGGGATGTCCTTGCTGTTCCCCCTGAGATGCGACAGCTATCACCGTGGGACCCTGGGTCCTTCAGAGGCCTGAGTCTTCTCAGCTGGCAGCGCCCAGAGCCCCCAATAATTATACTGGGAAGGAGCTACCTCTCAGGGTCCAAGGTCTGGAAAAACACAGATAAAGGGATGTTTCCTAGCAGAGTTATTTCTCGAAAGAGACTGGCAGGGACTTGCACAGGAGAGGCTGTGGAAAGGTACCCTTCACTGAATGCCATCATGTGCCAGGCACATGTCATTTTCAAAACTGTCCTGTGAGGTAGTATGATCCCCAATGTTCAGATGGGGAAGTAGAGGTCCAGAGAAGGGAAGACAACTGTTCAAGGTCACCAGGCTAAGAAGTGGCAGAGCCAGGATTTGTACCTGAGAACTCTGGCTCTAGAGAGCATAAACTGTCCTATGGAAGGGTAAGTCCATGGGTCCCTAGGAGACCCATCCCTCAGGGCCCTGTTATAGCTGGGGACAAACCTGAGGAAGCCCTCTCAGAAACCCTTGGCCTAGTTTTCTGTCTTGCTCCTCTGGCCCCCCACTTCCTCTTGGCCAATGACCAGATGTGAGGGTAGCGGGGCCCAACTTCAGGGTAGCTGGCCCAGGGTCTCAGCTAGCCAATGCCACTGGCCCCGGGGTCCTAGGCCGTGCACTTCCTACTCCTGCCAGCCACTGCTCAGAGCATCCCCAGGGCATGGAGCCACGGCAGAGTTTGGGTACCCTAAGGGTGGGAGCTGCAGGTAAGGCAGCCTGAGTCGGGGGAGGGGGAAGCTAGTGCTGATGGGATGACCAGGGAGAGAAGGCAGACATGCCAGGGAGAGTGGGAGGCCAGAAGAGGAGGGAACTGAGAGCAGCAGAAGAGAAAGGCTTGGCTTTGCAACCTTTAAAATTACTAGAGTATATGTAAAGCTCCAGGTCTTTGGTTTCTCTTGAAAAGTGGGAGTTCTGCACCCCGGCATCATGGCACCTCTCTTGCCTCTCTTGCCTTCTAGCAGTTCTCCTAATCCTCGATCATTATGTTTCTTGGTTCCTCTCTTTGCCATCTGTTTCACCCTCTGGAATGTAAGCTCTCTGGGCACAGGAAGTCTCTTGTCTTGGTCACTGTCATATCCCTGGCAGCTAGCTCTGGGCCTCAATAAACAGTCATTAAATTGGTGAAAGAAATATGAGTTAGAAACAAGAGCCCCACTTTAGGACATGTCATTGCTAACAAGGATTTAAGGCAGAATGAACCTCAACGTGTAATGACTACAAGACTAGTATGATCAAGTAGTGAGAGCAAGGCTTTGTGCAGGAGGGGTATTTTCACTGAGCTTTGAAGGTTGAGTCCAACAGGACAGGGGATACAGAAACTTGCCAGGTGGAGGGAGTAAGTATGTACAGGTTCAGAGTGCCAGTAGGTGGGCTCTTTGAGCAGAAGAGGCCAAAGTGTGCCAAAGAGGCCAATTGCTTGGAGGAAATGGAAGGTAATACAATTGGTAATATATGAAGGGACTAGATTGTACGGTGAATATGAATGTTTTGCCTAGGAGCTTAGAAATTGTTCAGGAAGAAGTAGGGAGCCATGCATGGTTTCTGAGCAGAGAGAGGACACTGCTACAGGAATATTGGAGAGTGGCAGAAAGGGGATGGATGATGCAGTCTGTGGACAGGGAGATAAGTTTGAAGGGGGTTACAGTAACCCAGGTGGAGGTAATAAAGATAGAGAGGACCTTCAGGAGAGACGAAATCTGCAGGCCTGGGGGTGAGGCAAAGAAGTGTCAGTGCCCATGGGACAGAAACAGTGGAATGCTAAAGTTGATTAGAGATGGCAAATTCTTTGCTACTCCTCCCAATCAGGGGGGAAGGTCTATGTCCCCAGCCCTTGGGTCTCAGCAGAAGCTGATTGCTTTAATAGTAGAAGGGATTCTGTGTCCACTTGTGGACCCAGAACTTAACAGACTGGCAGCTCCCCCTTCCTATCTCCTAGAACACTCATTCTTAGAACCACAGCTGCCACGCTACAAAAGCCCAAGCAGCCTCATGGAAAAGTCCATGGGTAGAGCAGAAGAACCTATTTGCCAGCCATATGAGTAAAGAAGGCATCCTGGTGGTGGATGCTCTAGTCCTAGCAGATTCCATGCACAGCAGAGGTATATCATCCAGCTGAGCCCTGCCCCAAATGCAAATTGATGAGCATTTGGGGGATGTTCATTACACAGCAATAGGTAATTAGAACAGGCTGTCAGTCAGGTGAAGGAAAGGAACCCGTTTGGTGGGAAAAGTCAGAAGGGAGGCTTTGGCCAGATCCGGGAATGCTTAGAATCTCAGGATCTTCAGACCTAAGGAGAAGACCCATTGCAGTCCATGGCAGGTCCCTGAGGCAGGGCATGGAGTTGAGGTGAGTCATGGGGCTGAGCAAGAAGTAGGGAGTACGGACAGTGTCCCCCTGGGGAGGGATGCCTTCAGACCTAAACTCTGCTGGCATAGGGCTGGCCAAGGGATGGCCTTCATGTGTCCATGTCCAACAAAGGGATGGAGAAACCCCAGCCAACTTGAGGGCTCACTCCTCGACTCTCACCCCTAGTACCTTCTGACAGCACTAATTGCTGGTCCCCTCATGACTAGGGCCTCCAGTTCTGGCACTCTGCCCTCTGACTTGCACTTCTGGGTGTCTGACCCACTTGCCCTGGAGTGATGTGTGCCATGAGTTCCCAGACACGACAATCCTATAGCCTGAGGCAGTCTCTCTCTGGTGTCCCATTTTCCAAGCCCTCCACCTTCACCCCCACATTTTGCTCACCCACAGGGCATGGCCCTCAAGCCAGGCAGGTTTGGGAAGGAATGAGAGTCCTCATCGATCTTCCAGGCTCTGCTTGGAGCCCCCTCTTTGAGGTAGCCTTCTCTGGCTCCTCCTACCCCCACTTCTTGCTCTGTGGACACTCGTATTTGTTGTCCAGTGGTTCCCTGGGGGGCTGCACTGCCTCTGTACCAGCCTGTGAGCGTCCTGAGGACAGTGCCCATCCTGTCTGCTCCTGACCTCAAGAAGTCCTGAATAAAGAGCTCTGTGACTGAGCAGGACAGAACTAGGCTGGACTTCAGTGGTCCTTAAGCAAGGAGGATGTGATAGAGCCCCCAAAGTCAGTTCTACAGAATTTAGTTGCCTGCCATATCAGAGCAGGGGACCCTAGCTGGGAATGGTGCCAAAAAGCAGAGAACTCCAACTAGGTCCCTGGCTTGCTGTGTGACCCTTGGCATGTGGTGTCCCCTCTCTGGGCCTGATCCCCACTCCGAAATGAGGGGGCAGAAGGAGCTGATCTCCAAGATTCCTTCTAGCTCAAACACCTTATGTTCTATGAAATCTGTGTGAATGTTGCCATGGAGACTTCAGAGAGGAACTGCAGCAACACTATATTCAACTTATCCAAAGAGAAAAGAACCAAGTCACTCCAGAAAGCAGCGGGTGTCAGAGGTATGTTCTCCACCACCCTCAATGCCCAAGTACAGCCCAATCACCTCTGTCGCACTGAGGCCCTGCTGGGCAGGTGGTAAAGTACAGCTGTCTATCTGTTCCTGAACAGGGAAAGGACCATTCTGTGGAGAGCTAGAGTAGAGGGCAATTTCCTTGCAGGTGTGAGTGCAGGTCCACCCTCTGCCATCACTCCCTACAGCAGCTCAGATCCTTACTCTTGGAAGTCTCAGGACACAAAATGTGCCAGCTGCAGATTGGGGAATCAGGAGGAGGACTGGCTGTGATCCAGACTCTGCACCGAGGCTCTGTGTGGATGAGACCTCTGGGCTTGCACAGAGCAGAACATCCCCAGTTGCCTTATGGCCCAGGCTCTCCAGGAAGCCTCTGAATGCCATGCCTGGCCTCATGGCAGGGGGGCATCGTTGTAAAGGAATAAAATAGACCCCTGGGTAGCCATGACAATCACTAAAGTTTGAGCACTGACTGACTCTGGAGTGGGCCAAGTGCTTCAATTGCATTGTCTCTTCTTTTTCTTAATTATAAAAATAGTGTATGATTTTTGCTGGCATATCAACAACATAAAAGGTAAAGGCGAGAATAAAAGTTCTCGTACTCCTCAGATCTTATCCTTCAGGGGTAACCACTGTTAGATTTGGTAATGGCACTATATCAGTTTCGTATTGCTGCTGTGACAAATTTCCATAAATAGTAGCATAAAACAACCCAAATTTATTATTCTACACTTGGGAGGCCAGAAGTGTGAAATGAGTCTTATGGGCCTGAAGTCAAGATATCAGGAAAGCTGGGTCCTTCTGGGGGTCTCAGGAGAGAGTCCTTGCCTCTTTAGCTTCTGGTACCTTCCAGTTTTCCTTGGCTCATGGCTGCACCTCTCCAATTTCCATTTCCATAATTCCCTGGTCATCTCTTTTTCTGCTGTCAAATCTCCCTTTTATAAGGACACTTGTGATTACATCTAGGGCCTGCCTGGTCACCCCCCTATCTTAAGATCTTTAATTTAATCACACCTATAAGGATCCTTTTGCCATATAAGGTGAAATTCACAGGTTCTGGGGATTAGGACCCGGATATCTTTGGGATCTATTATTCAGCTTATGCAGTGCCATTCGAATTTCTAGTTGGGGATTTTGTTTGAAACAAAGATTCCGTGGCTAAAGCAGACATAAAAATCACTGGACTATAGATTTCCTTTTCTGTGCTATTTTTGACCAGTTTGTTTAAGGTATCCAAATTAGGCTACTAAATATATTCCATATTTATGCATAAATATATATAAAATACATCGAGATGTAACCCTTGTTCTCTAAGTATAAGATCACAATTATTTGATCTTTCCACATTTGATAGGATTTTCCCAGAAGAAGATCTGGATTAAGTATGTTTTTCTGGCATGGTTCTGATACGTTTTCAAGTCCTTCCTTTATTATTGGTCTGTTTGGGTCTTTTATTTCTCCTTGAGCCAATTTTTATAGTTTATATTGTTCTAATATATAATTATCTTATCTAAATTTCCAAAGTTAGACAGTTGCACGTAATTTTCTCTTGCAATTTTTAACTTTTACTTCTGTGTTTTATTTTTATCTCTCTCTTTCAGTCACACTTGCCAGCAGGTTTTTTTTTTTTAAATCTTAATAGCCTTATATTTTAAAAATAGCTCTTGATGTTATGAATCAATTCTATTCTTTCTTTTAAAATAACTAATTTAGTTTTCTAATTTTCTTCTACTTTTTTTTGGTTTATTTTTTGTTGTTTATCTAGAATGTTGACATAGTTTATATAGTAGTTTGATTTTTTTATGCTTAATAATAAAAAGTGATATTATCAATTTCTCTTCGTGTATGACTTTGCCTCCCACAAGTTTAGTAAAAAGTATGCTCATTACTATTCATTTCTACAAAATCTGATTTTAATTTTGATTTTTTTGGCCCAAGAGTTATTTAAAAGAGGGTATTTCAATTTCTAGAAGGTGAGATTTTTAAAAGTTAGCTTTATTGAGGCATCATTTATGTACAATAATTTACCAATTTTAACTATACAATTTGGCGAGTTTGGACAAATATACAGTCATTTAAACATCACCATACTAATGATAGAAAACATTTTACCACCCCCAAATTCCCTCTTGTCCCTTTGCAGTAACTCCCTCCCCCAATCTCTAGTCTCTAGCTACCACTGACCTGCCTTTTGTCACTTTAAGTGGTTAGATATTTAAGAAACAGTTTTTTTCTGGTGCCAACAGTGAAAACTGTTTTATTCATGAAATTTCAGATGTTTAGTTCAATGGTAATGTTGATTATACATTCACTGAAAAAAAAAAAACAGTTTTATTGAGGTTTGATTGACATCCAATATATGCGCATATTCGAAGTGTAAAATTGGTAAGTTTTGACATATGTTTACACCCATGAAACCATCACTAGTCAATATAATGAAGATATCCATCACTTTCATATTTACCTTTCAATTACCTGGATTGTCAGGATATCCAGCCTTGTCCCCAAA